ATTCTCATTTTGGTAACCTCAATTTTGTTGCCTTTCAAGCCTTCAAACTTTATAATGCCTTATGTCAGGTAAAAGTATTTTGAAGTTTTTCTCATCATGTTCTAAAAGTTTGTCCATTGAAATTTGTATCCTTTCCGAGAATTAATTAATATTATTAATTAAAATCCCAGTCTATGATTCAAAAACTCTTTTTTTTGAAGAATTATTTTTGAAATAAAAAAGAGTTATAGCCACTTGGCCATTTTAACTCTTTTCTGCCTCGTCCTCTAGTTCCCTCTAGTGTCCAACTGCAAACTATGTCAAGCTTCAGTTCCTAAGAGGAGTTTAAAGTAGTTCTGTTTCAGCCATTTCCCCACTGGTACAAGTAATCCTCGACTTATGATCACAATTGAGCCCAACATTTATGTTGTTAAGTGAGACATTTGTTAAATGAATTTTGCCACATTTTACGACATTTCTTGCCACAATTATTAAGCGAATCACCAAAGTTGATAAGTTATTAATACGGCTGTTAAGTGAATCTGGCTTCCCTATTGATTTTGCTGGTCAAAAGGTCGCAAAAGGTGATCACATGACCTCGGGACACTGCAACTGTGATAAATATGAATCAGTTGCCAAACATCTGAATTTTGATCACATGATCGTGGGAATGCTACATAGGTTGTAAGTGTGAAAAACGGTCATAGGTCACTTTTTTCAGTGCAATAGTAACTTTGAACGGTCACTAAATGAAATGTTGTGAGTCGAGGACTACCTGTTTAGCATAGACATCTTTTAAGGAAATTTGAAAGGTCATCTGGCTTCCAAGACTTTGAAAAAAATGCATAGAGACTAATCAAAGACAAATTTCCTTCCTTCCTTCCTTCCTTCCCTCCCTCCCTCCCTCCCTCCTGATTAAAAAAATTAGAAAATGGGGAAACATGACAAGGAAAGCACTCTGGCCCTCTGGTTCTTTGAGAAGGAACCTTCTAGCTTACAAGAAGTTGATTTTTCCCAAGCAAAAAGGGCCTCCATTTTTTAAAAATATTTTTTTTTTATTCAGGCATGGAGATGGTGTTCTTTCTGAAAAAAGCCAAGCCAAGGGTCATCTCCTCTAAAGTTCTCAATAGTAAGACAGCAGACAATGTTGATCTCAGTAGGGCTAATTAGGCTTCAGACCAGAGATGCAGAGCCAGATACGAAGCTGTGCTGATACATTAATGATCCTGGGTACCGCCTTCAGATGTGCGGTTCTGTCTGACATAATCTTTTCTCAGAAAGTGGGTGTTTGACTTTTAGCCAGTTCCCCCCCCCCCTCGCTCTTTCCCACATAAGTACATATTCAGACACACTCATATTTCTTTCACATTAGATTAAGGAACTTTAACCTTATACAGGAACCAAACCAAACACAAGCTGGAAAGAGGAAATTAATTTATTGCTAGAAATAATGAGAAATAAGCATACTTTTCTACTTGGTAGTTGTTTTTGTTTTCCTTTTCTTTTAGTAACAGTAAGCTGATAATCGTCTCCAGGTCTTCCTTCCCTGAAACTTTGCCATCTAGCAAGACCTCAACAGTGTTTCTTTTCCATGAGGGCCCCTACCCTATAGAACATCCACCCTCCAGCAATCTGGCAAATCCCCACCTTTTTAGTCTTTCAGAAGGCCATCAGGGCCTGGCTTTTTACTCAGGATAGAATGAGGATATCTGGATTGTGTGGCAACTTTAGGGAACGACTGAGGCACCAAGTTCTGTTTTAATAATAGTAGTAGTAGTAGTAGTAGTAAAGTTGGAAGGGACCTTGGAGGTCATCTAGTCCAACCCCCTGCTCAGGCAGGAAACCCTATACCATTTCGGACAAATGGCTGTCCAGTCTCTTCTTAAAAACTTCCAATGTTGGAGCATTCACCACTTCTGGAGGCAGGTTGTTCCACTGGTTAATTGTTCTCACTGTCAGGAAGTTTCTCCTTAGTTCTAGGTTACTTCTCTCCTTGGTTAGTTTCCATTCGTTGCGTCTTGTCCTGCCTTCAGACACTTTTGGTCGTACGTTTTATGGTCTTATAGTTTTGGATTGTATAGTTATTGTGAGATGCCCAGAATTGTGTTTTAACATTAAGCAGCCATACTAATCTTAAATAAATAAATAAACTATATGATGGTCGTGAAACATTGTGATGGATGTAGTCTGGAGTCCCAGGAGGCAGGAGTAGTCTTCCTGAGAAGCAAGAGACAGAGAAGTTTAGATAGTTTGGATGGAAGAAAGAGGTTCAAGACAGCTCCTCCTTAACAGTTCTTAGAGCAGTGGTGGCGAACCTATGGCACGGGTGCCAGAGGTAGCACTCGGAGCCCTCTTTGTGGGCACACATGCCATTGCCCCAGCCTTGCCTCCCCCTGCGACCCCCTCCTCTCAAGCAGCCCCCCTGAAGGAGAGTCACCCCCGAGCATGGCCCACACAAAGCAGTGCAGCCAAGGACATGGCAGCCAGGCAGTGTAGACAAGACTCTGCCCTCACATCCCATCAAGCACTTGATGCTGCAGAGTGCGGGCAGAGGGTGTGGCCGCCATAGTGCTGCTGGGCTGCCTGGGTGATCTGCGGTGGGCCCTGGAGGTGGTGAGTGGTCCTGTGGGCAGGTGGGGTGGGGGATGGGGGGCAGAGCGGGGACAGGCAGGGGGGTGGAGCAGGGGCGGGGCCAGTTTTTGGGCACTTGGTCTCTAAAAGATTGTCTTAGAGTATATCTTTAATTATGCAAATAGTTACTTTAATGTCAGATGTGAAGAATCAAGATCACATGTTAAGTTCCAGTTAAGCTGATCTATTGCTCAAGCCTATATGTAAGAATCTAGCCAACTAATAGTCATCACTAAATTAACGGAATTCAAGGGAGGCTGGATTTGGATCTCTTGTGAGAATGTAAGGATTCCAGACTGATTCCTCTCTTGACTCCACCCCCAGGATCTATCTTTTCTTCTCTTTCATCTATTTTGGCAAGGTTTCTGTCTATAGGTGAGCAACATTAAATGAAACTGCTTAGAACAGGGGTGTCAAACTGCTGGTCTGCAGGCCAGATGCGTCATGCCGAAATTGCGCCCCCCTTGCGGGCAATGGGAAAAAAGTCACAACATGTTACATGATGTTGTGAGTTTGACACCCCTGGCTTAGAAGAACCTTGATATTTGGAGCCCGAGAACCATGTGCATAATTTGGTTGTGACTACAAGTGTCCAACAGAACTTAATTTTTTCTTTGTAATTCATTAAAACAATTTTTTAGCCTGATGCTGCTTCCTTCCTTGAGTATGAATGGTGCTGTTTCAGATATATGTGCTTTGTTGAGAAAAACTTAATTTAACAGGTATTCAGAAGCTAGATTATAGATCATGCTAAATCAGGATTTGGTTCACTCTGCTTTTGGCATAGTGTGTTGTGTGGCTCAGAAGTGCATAAGCCACTTCAGGTCTCATTTAGGAGGAAGCAAGGCAAGTAAGTTTTTTTTCTTCCCTATGTCCAACTCACAAATTTTTATCATTCTATTTTCTTTCATTATTTTACAGATGGAGTTGTGTTTAGACATAAAACTGAAGCATTCAATACTAACCAACAAGCAAACACTCATTAGCACTTGTTCATATTCTGTGTTTAGCTAATGGTCAGGAAGGCTGTTAATGGCTATTGTTGGTTCTTTGTGATCTCCGTAAACTCAGAAAAATATAAACATGCCACGTTTAGATTATTCTGCTACTAAATTTACTTTGCATCTTCTCTATGGCTTGAGTATTTCACGTTTCTATTTGTTTATTATATGGTATTTCTCATTTGTTTTTTTCTATTGTTGTATTAATTTATACAGTGACGATAAGAATCGTCTTACAAATTATTTCAAATCCTAGTTTAAAATCAGTTTAAAAGACCTGGTTTTCTTTCCATTAAAAAGTTGATTGGGCTGATGGTCAATTCCAATTTCTTCAGTGGCGATGGATGAGCCTGCCACCACAGCATCTAATGATAGCAGAGCAATTACAAATTGTGTAGTTGTGAAAACAGACTTTTTTTCTTCAACATTAGTACCAATCACCTATGTTCATATATTTGCTTAGCCATTAAGCATGATGTATAAATACTACAGTAACTGGTTCAACAGACCCCTTGGCCAAACTCACACTCTACCACGGTTTAGGATAGTATATGAATCTATCATGCCTGTCTGCCTTTGATGAGTAGTCATATATTTCATTCAGAATTAATCTTTCTGAAAGCATCCATTTGCCATTCGATCAGTAGGCATATCTCTTCCAAAAGGAGATTGTAGACTGATAAAAGAGAATATTTATAGCTCAGGATTGAACTGTGGAGTTCTTGGTGCTCTCTAAGCTTGATTATTTTGGTGCAGAAGATCAAGAACTTTCCCTCCACACTGACAAGGCAAGCCACTAGTATATAAACAGAGAGCAAATCCAACTCCCTCTAGCACTGATGATGTTACCCAGTTGGGTAATGAAACATCTGCAAGCCAAGTTCAGAGATCACTAAGGGCCCCATGGAGATTGTCAACATTTCCCCCGCCCCCAATGTTGATGCTCTGTATATGTCCTATGTATGCTGATGAGAAGACAAAAAGAGGTCATAGTCCAGTTATCAGAAAGTGTGCTAATTAGGCTAACTTTTATACAATTTTTTTCTGATCCCAATTAGCAGTCTCCTGTCTAATCTCCTTGTCCTTCCCCCCCCCCCCAAAGAAATCTTAACATGATTTTTACAATGCATATATTGTGTAGATTTTGAGTGGTTTTTCCTAGCTTGGTACCTTCCTGAAGGAATAGGCAATAAACCCATTATTTCTTCCTGCTAATATATCTGGTTAGACCTGGAGAGATGATAGAACATTAAAATCAGAGGTGCCTTTCTGGGAAACCAGGGATAATCTCCTCAAACAAGTGTGTTGCTAAGCTGTTCTCTCCCGGGACTTATAATCTGTCAGCTTCTTCTCTTTCCCTTGAGATAAGGGGAGCTTGGTAAAATGGGGGTGGAGCTTTTTTTTTCTTCTTTCGTTCACACTTTTTTACCTGGCTGCAAACCTTTCATGCTTTCCTACTTGGCTGCAAATTGTTTATTTTAGGTTACCTGGATCAATATCTTTTCCTTAGGAAAGTGGTCATATTAGAAACCCAACTTCTATTGGATGGTAAGTCCACTGTCAGCTCTTTTTGTGTGTTTCTGCCTTTTAACATATCCTTTTAGCAACTATGCAGATATGCTGAACTCTTCCTGCGTAGTCAAGTTAGTTTTTGAGTTTTGGTTAGACTATTTTTAAAAAATGTATGTATGTATGTACGTATGTATGTATGTATAAGAAAGCTCAGGATTTGTATTTGCTCAACATTGAAAGGATGAAGAATTACCAGTTCTTATTAACCAGAGATAATTAAGAAAAATTTAGATTCTGCAGAAATGGACAGATTGACACTAAAAATGAAAGAGAAAGAAGATTCAGATTACTTTAGAACATGGGATACATTTTATCAATGACTAGAAAAATGAGGTAGAGAGAAAGGAGTTTAACATGTATTAGTAAGCTAAACATTGTAACCCAGACAATATGTTGCTGATAAAATATTAAGGATTTGTGACTACAAAAAAATAATAAAATATTGGGGGAAAAAATAAATAACCCTTCGATCAAATGAAAGCTTTTTTAAAGCGGATAGAAGATCTGAAACTATTGTTATAAACAGAACTCCCAAAACTTTATAATAGCTCATTTTTTAATATGAAAAAGGCTAATTAAAATACTTACAAATAATAATAATAAAAAAGCTCAGGACCATATTGGTTGGAAACATGCAAGAGAGGCCTTCATCCTGCAATGGATAGACAAAGGCTAAAATGACGGTGATGATATATTTGTGTATGCATAAAACATACAGTCTCCCTTTGACACAAATAATTTTATTTATAAAATTATAAATTTTAGAATAGTGATAGAGTTTTGAATATTTAGAAATTCTTTATACCTTGTTCATCACATCTAGACTATGTGACTTTGAGAAGGGCAAAAAAAAAATTCCTATGAGCTACAGTTTTATTGTTCGAAAAAATGAAATCCATCAAAAGGGAGACACTGATTCACATAATCTGATATTGATCTATGCAGAAGTAATTTCAGTTCAGTGGGATTTATTCTGAGGTGAGTGGATACAGGATTTTGCTTCTGTAGAGCTGCAGAAGGGAATTGAAGGTTAATAGATGAGAAATCTAGCAGTTCTCACGGAGAAACTGTGGACTATAAAGAGAGAGAAAATTAAAATGTATGCCATTCCAATACACAAATAGACAAAGCCATAAAGAACACTTTGATTTTTGTACTAATGCTCACCTTCTCCAATAGCATCCCCTAAAAAATCTAGATTTTGAAAGTCATTTAGAAATAGAAAAGTTTGTTCACTATGATGGCCAGGAGGAAACGGGTGATAAAAGCTGTGTAAACAATAAACCACTCTGAGGTCACTGTTGTTACTCAGGGGAGTTGAGGCCCTGTTTTTGTATCTAGGACTGGGTTATCACCTCTTGTCAGAAGTTCTTGTGAAAGCACAAGGTTTCATAACCAGAGGGATTTTCCAGGTGTTGCTGGTAGTGGTGTTTGAATTAAAAAGAAGTTGAAACTCTAGAAAGGGTGCAGAGAAGAGCAACAATGATGATTATGGGGCTGGAGGCTAAAGTATATGATGAACAGTTGCAGAAACTGGTTATGTCTAGTCTAATGAAGAAAAGACTAGGGGTAACATGATAGTAGTCTTCTAAGATTTGAGAGGCTGCCACAGAGAGGTGGGGGCCAACTTATTCTCCAAAGCATCTGTGGTGAAGTGATGGAGAATGTAATTCTTGGCCATTGATCAGGACAGCCACTTGTAATTTCAAATGATAGTCAATTCCATTCTAGCTATTTATAGTATTGATATAGCATCACCCAGCCATTGTTAGTGATATAAAGCTTATCTTCAGTACAATTATTTCAGCTTTACTGATGATTCTTGGAGAATCTTTCAATTCCGAGTGCAAAAATTATTTGTAAATCTTTTCTCACAATCACAGAAAAAGATAATTACAATCCCCTTAGAGAACAACTGGCTTAATCCTACATCCAATCAAAATTCTAATCACAAGTAATGTGTGGATTCTTATGTAGCCATACAAATATCACTAGGGTTGGGGAAAATGTATTTTTGCAGCAACATAAAGTAATTTAAGCTCAGTGAAGACTGAACATGCGCAGTGACCAAGAAATACCACTTCACTTTGAACAAAAATCAATAGCACATGGAATGGGGAGGGAAAGTCTTGAATGGCATACCTTATTAGAAGGATCCAAAGTCAATTGTTGCTTTAAAAAAGTTATGTATTCTTGGTCTAGAAGTCTGGGAATCAAAATCCAACATTTCTAAAAAGCAAGAGGTTGAGAAAGATAATGTAGGTTGTTTAAAATTCACACTGCTTAATGTAAAAGATGAACAAACATGTCTCTGTATTTAATATTCTATGAAGAGTTTTCTGTTCACTATTCCAGTTTCTCCATTTCTTCACCTCCCTCCTGTTTTTCTGCCTGTGCACTCCTCCAGCAATCAGCAACCCTTGGCTATCCTTGTGAGGTGGTGCGAGTTCTTCCTTCAAAGTTTGTTTCCCCCTACCTTTACAAAGTGTATGATTCCCAATATTGCTAATATTGTATAGGTTTTCACAGCCAGTATCTGTTGGGCAGTGTTGAGCTTCAGTGATAGCCATTACCAGCTGTCTGCAAGGAATATAAATCTTTCCATTTCCTACCATCCAGTCAGAGCTGAAGAAGCTTCTTGGATGAGAAGCAAAACATTTTCAAAGAAAAACAAGAAAGTCTAGGTGCCCTCTGAAAAAGCACCTATCAATCATGACCTGGATGGCTGAGAATCTGCATAGACCATGATAGCCCTCGTTTAGTAGACTCTAGACCAGACATGTCAAACTTGCGACATCACGTGATGTCGCACCAGATATCGGGATGGTTTTGCCATTGCTGGCAATGGGGTGGGTGTGGCTTCTGGATGACGCGTCTGGCCTGCGGGCTGGCAGTTTGACACCCCTGCTCTAGACCAGTGGTAGGCAACCTTGGCTCTTTTATGACTTGTGAACTTCAACTCCCAGAATTCCTGAGTCAGTATGGCTGGTTCAGGAATTCTGCTATTGAAGTCCGCAAGTCATAAAAAAGCCAAGGTTGCCTACCCCTGCTCTAGACAACAGATTTCCTGCTGTTTTGCTGGCAATCGTCACTGGCATCTTCAGAAGTATATAGACCATAGTCCCGAAGCTCAACACTGTCCAATAGCTGATATCAGTTATTTTTGTATGGATGTTGCTTGTCTAGGGATAACATTTGCAAACTTAGAATCAGAAATCCAGGAAAAACAGCTTGCAGACTGAATGTGTGCACTAGCCATTTAAAAGAATTCATCTGAGATACTGCAGAGAAGTGTATTTATGCCTTAAGTTGCTGCTTGATGACATTCAAGTGACATAGGTGACTGAAATTGTGTAATTATTGCTGAGTGAAACAAGCTATAGCTTTCCACTGAGTGGCAAACCACATCAGTGTGAAAAAGTGTGAAAAAGAGTAAGCAAAGGATTTGTGTGTTCGATCAAGAACTTTTAGAAGATGTAATGAGTGACTGATATTGCATTTGTAAGTATTTTTATTTTTCTTCAAAGAAATTTCCTGAGGTGTCTGTCTGAAAATGAATCTACCTTGGATTGCTCTTGGCCCACTGTTACTTATAAGTCTCAGTTATGCAGGGGCTGATGTGCAATCAAGCACATCCCTTTACTCTTCTTCTCCATCTCTCCCCACCACACTGTCATCTACGCCGCCAATGTCTTCTGAATCCACACAAGACCCCAAATCTCTCCTGTACCCCAATCTGGTCACCATATCTCCACTCAATTCATCCCTGCCTCAGCAGAACCAGACTCAACCCTCGGTCTCCATCACCCAGACTGAGAATACTGAATTGATCCAGGAAGAAGAAGATAGTCCTTTTGGGTTTTCTGACCAAAACATGGACGATCCTATAAGAAATTATGAATGGGAGGCTGCAGCTAGGCGTGCGGATATGGTGCTGAATATGACTGAGATGTTTCAAGAAGAGGAGAGGGCTCGTTTCAATCTTTCCGGCCTAAACATGGAAGATTCTGGAAAAAATCAGCCTGCACCTCGGGGCGTGGCAATGGCACTGCTGAAACCACTAGGTGAAGGGCAATTGGGAAGGAGGTTCCTTGGGGGAAATTTAATTTTTGTTCAGTTGAATCTGGGATTCTTGAATGATAAACTATGATTTAGTTTATCCATAATACAGAGAGAGCTTGAACGTTTAGAACATTTAGAATTCAACTCCCAGAATTCCTGAGTCCACAAGATAAAATGGCCATAGTTGCGGATCTCTGGTTTAGAAGATAGTCCAGCCTAAAAATAAGAATTCAGTATCACTTTTCCTTCTCATAATCCACAGTAGCTTGCATCACGATGTGTACTCAGCACACTCTCTGGCTATAAACCCAGGTTAATAAAATAGGATTGCTCTAAAGACCACTATGCTCAAAGCAATCACATCATATCTTCAGCCAACATAGGGAAACAACAGCTGGGTTCCTTAACATGTTGAAGCATTACAGGTAGCCCTCAACTTACAACAGTTCATTTAGTGACCGTTCAAAGCTACAATGGCACCGACAAAAGGGACTTACCGTATATGCCGGCGTATTAGGCAACCTGGCTTATAAGACGACCCCCGTCTTTATCACCGAGTCGCCTTCTTAGAACGTTGTCTTATACGCCGGAAACTACGAGTATTTCCGGCGTATAAGACGACTCGGCGTATAAGACGACCCCCGTCTTTGGTGCGAGTTTAGCTCTTCCGGAAGTTGTCTTATATGCCGGCATATATGGTACAACTGTTTTTCACACTTACAACTATTTCAGCATCCCTTGGTCATGTGATTAAAATTCAACTGGTTCATACCTTGTTTCCCTGAAAATTATACTTGTTTTGCCTCCAAAAGAGGCACCAGGTCTTATTTTCGGGGGACATCTTACCCATTTACTTAGGACCACTGCAGCCAGACCTCCCATGCCCCAACACCTGTTGCACTGCTTCCTGAATTCTTCTGTGACCGCTTGCGGCCACATACCATGTGGCACATTGCGAGTGGCAGCATCAGCACAATTGACATGAGCCATGCAGCCTCCTGCCACAAGAGGCAGCACCAGCGCAATTGGTGAGACGAGCCATGCGGCGTCCTGCTGCAGTGGTGGCACCAGCACGATGCGCCATGTGGCACGCAGCACGCAGAAGAACTCGGGAAAGCAGTGCAGGTATCGGAGCGTGGGGGCCCTGGCTGCAGTGGTCCTAAGGTAAGCAGATGCGAGGTGTGTGGGATAGCTGCACCTCCCCACCCACGCCCTAGCTTGATTTTTACCCATACACCTCGCCCCAAAAACTAGGGCTTATTTTGAGGGTAAGCCTTATATTAGGCGCAGATGTAAAAATCAAGCTAGGTCTTATTTTCAGAATAGGTCTTATTTGGGGGAAAACAAAGTATTTATGATCATTGTAGCATCTTGGGGTCATGTGTTCCCTTTTGCGACCTTCTGAAAAGCAAAGTCAATGGGGAAGCCAGATTCATTTAACAACTGTGTTACCAACTTAACAACTGTAGTTATTCACTTAAGAACTGTGGTAAGAAAGATCATAAAATGGGGCAAAACTCACTTAGCAAATGTTTTACTTAGCAACATAAATTTGGACTCAATTGTGGTCGTAAGTCAAGGACTACCTGTATAAGCCGAGCTCATTTTTTTTCTAGTGTGGTATATTGTATGTGAACTCAGGCATTTTTTTTTCCTGTAAAGGTCAAGCTGGGGAAACTCAAGGAATGTCCAAGAATACCATAGCTCTGTTCCTCTGGGTCTGTGGTATATTGCTGTGTGTTTTCGTTGGAATCTATTGTGCCCATAGTCGAGGAACCAAGAAAGAACCATTCACACATCATCGCTTGGATGAGGAGGCATTCGATGACCCTGGTAAACCTGCTCCACAGGTCCTTTGGGAGGAGAAGGGTCACTTAGAGGGCACTGCCAATATCCTTCCCCTGTATTTGTTCCCAGGATGAGATACAGACTTCCTTCTACTTCATCAGTTTTTCAAGTCTTTGGTTGAAAAAAATGGTGGTGGTGGGGAGGAAGGATCTACAAGTCTTCCCCTTTTAATCACCAAAGTTATTTTTTCCAAAAGCCAACTGGACTTTCTTGTTTTTTTGTTTGAAAACATTTTGCTTCCCGTTAAAGAAGTTCAGAATTGAAGAAGTTTCTTGGATGAGAACCAAAATCTTTTCAAACAAAAACCCAAGGAAGTACTGTTGTCTTTTGGGAAAAGCATCTTTGGGACAACCATAACCTGGATGATTATCTGCATAGACTTTTAATGATCACTTGTTCAACAACCATTCAGAGTTACAACAGTACTGAATGAGTGGTACTTATGACTGGTCCTCAAGTTGATCAAGGCCATGTGACCTTTATTAAGGCACTTGACAACTGACTCGTGTTCACAACACTTGCAGCATCCCACAGTCATGTGATCACTTATGATCTTCCCTGTTGGCTTCCCACAAATAAAGTCAATGGGGAAGTCAGCAACGAAGGCCACAGGTCACGATGGTAAGTCTCTCATATGTTTCCTTGCCTGACAGGAACCACCTCTGACCCTGCCATGCTCATGCCGTGGCTGCCCAGCTACCTGCGCATCCTTTTCTGCCCAGCAGCAGCTGCTTACCTGCCTGCCAGCCTGCTTGCAAGCTGCCTAGGACTTGTTTAATAACTCGTCATCCTTGCTTAACAATAGTAAAGGGAGTGCTGGGCTTGCTGTCACAAGCAATGCAGTCACATGACATCCCGCTTATGACATCACTTAGTGGTGGAAATTCTGGTCATTATTACTGTTGTTAAGGGGTGACTATGGTAGTCCCAAAGGTGCTTTTTCAGGAGGCAACTGGACTTTCTTGTTTTTCTTTGAAGATGTTTCGCTTCTCCTCATCCAAGAAGCTTCTTCAGCTCTGACTGGATGGTGGGGAATGGAAGAATTTATACTTTTTGCAGACAGCTGGTCCTTTGCATTCTTTTAGAAGTTTTTGAGGTGATTTGGAGGTTTACCTGTGCCCTCAGGGTCCAGAGTAGTGCAAATGTGTGTGGAACCTTCTTAGCTGCAGGATGTTTTCTGCCTTGTGTCCCTTTATTGTTGAAGACAGGCGCAAGCTGTTGAGGATGAGTCTGAGTTGTCTGCATCTCAGACTGAAGCGCAAATGGTTCCCGTAGTCTGCAATATTTTCTGGAAATCTGTTCATACTCCTGCACCTCAACAATTCTCTTAAAAATGCAAATGACCAGCTGTCTGCAAAGAATATAAATTCTTCCATTCCCCACCATCCAGTCAAGAGCTGAAGAAGCTTCTTGGATGAGAAGCAAAGCGTCTTCTAAGGAAAAACAAGGAAGTCCAGTTGCCTCCTGAAAAAGCATCTTTGGAACAACCATGACCTGGATGACTGAGAATCTCCATAGAGGACTACTGTACAATTAAAACATCCAGTCATAGACACAGGAATGAAACTAAGGTCATAAGAATGTTTCTGTACCACATCTTGTAAATTGAAAAAGATCTTTGCCAGTACCAAAAAGACATTAATGTAGGTGCCAAATGATGCCAAACAAATATTATAAGCACTAGGGTATCATAATAGATAGGTCTAGGACAACTTGCCGTGGCCAACTCACATGGCCATTTTGCCATGGCCAACTCTCCATGGGATAACTCACTGTGGCCAACTTGCCATGGCACAACGTAGACAATTCCATGTGGATAACTCAACATAATAAATGTTATCAATCACTGTTTCTTCTACATTATTTCCATTTTTGTCAATGGAAATAATGTAGAAGAAACAGTGGCAGATGGCATTTATTGCGTTGAATTATCCTGCGTGGATTGTTCTGCAGCAAATTGTCCCAAAGCAAGTTGGCCACAGTGAGTTGTCTTGTGGCAAGTTGGCCATGGCAAGATGGCCACAGTGAGATGGTGGTGCTGGATTGGCCGCAGCAAGATGTCTAGGTTGAGTTGTCCTATTCCATAACAGAGAAGCATTTTACTGGGCGATGCCTTATTCATTTGAGATGGTAGGAGTGCCTAGATGGATCATTTGACAACAATCATCACAGTATATAAATAAGTAGGATGGAAGAAGATCTAGGAAGGGCCTCAAGTAACATTCTCATATAATCATGCCTTCCATGGCAACAGTTTCATCAATGGGAAAGTCCACCCAACAGCCATTTTGGAAGAGAACCCATATCAGGTACTGAACTTTTCAAATGCCCCAACCATTCCAGACTTGGAATGATAACTGATATAGACTACACTACACATATTCCTTTAACTTCCAGCTCTCTTCTTTTCTTCTCAGCTCTCTCCCTGGACAGACCCCAGAATTATGACTGGTTCTTCCATGAAACAGATGCTCATGTCTACCCAACTCCAACACAAATCCAACTTAAACCAATGCAGGTCCTCTCGGTCCCAGATCTCAAACAACCCTCTCCTGGACTTGAAACGTCACCAGAGGAACCTGCTAAACCTGAGACAGGACCTGACCCCAAGGAGCTGCCACGAAGCCCTGTGAAACTGGAATGCCTGTCTCCAGCCAACCTTGGAAATCTCATCTGAGGTCCAGCTCCTCTCTAGCAGCTCCCCTTTCCTCTACTCCTCACCTTATTATATTCAATGTGTGTCTCAATCTGGAATAATCTAGCTAAGTGTGGTTGGAAGGAAGAATGATGAATTTTCAGATCCATGTAAGGCTCCCAACAGTGATGAAAACAATCCATATTCCTAAATTAGGTTATTAGAATATATGTGTAGCTATAGAGCGTACTTGTATGCAGGTGGTCCTTGATTTACAAACACAGTCAGGACCAAGGGTTCCATTGCTAAGTAAGGCACTTGTTCAATGAGTCACCTTGGATTTTAAGTTAACCAAATCACTGTGGCTGTTAAGCATTGGTTGTTAAATGAACACAGTCTCCCCTGTTGACTTTGCTTGTCGGGAGCCAGCTAGGAAGGTCACAAAAGGTGATTACATCACACCAGGAAGATATAATCATCATAAATATATGCCGATTGCAAGCATCTGACTTTTGATCATGTGACCATGGGGATGCTGCATGGGAGAACTGGTTGTAAGCCACCCTTTTCAGGGCTGGGATAACTTCAAACTCTGAAGTCACTAAATGAATGGTTTTAAGTCAAGGAGTACCTGTATCTCTTTCCCTCCCATATTTCCTGTCAATCTCATCCATCCCTCTTCCCCCTCCCTCCCCCCCTCCTCCTCCATTCCTCTTCCTTTCCCTCCCCCTCCTCCCCTCCCCCCTCCCCTCCCTCCTCCCCTCCTCCTCCACCCCCTCCCTCCCCTCCTCCTCCTTCCTCCATATGGATGTAACCCACTTTGGAAGCAATATGCTGCAGTGTTCCTGGCCATTGTCCCATCGATTCCATTGCTAAACTCCCAACAGATAGACAAACCTTAGACCAAACTCTCTTTCCAGACAAAAACAATTGCTGCATTGCTAGAGATAACCACAAGAAGATGCAGCTCCTAACCTAAAGGGGCATTTGCAGTATCGCCTGTCCTGCTCTTTTACAACTGGTAATATCACCAACTATTCTCCTTTGTGGGGTTCTGCCACAGGAAAGCCTCAAACTGCTGGTCTCCCTTGATGAAATCCTTTGGAAATGAAACCAGTTTAAGAATTTACTCTCTGGGTTTCAGCTTTGGCAACCAGTGTGCTATCTGGATGGTGGTCATGATGCTGTCTGACTGATAGATTCCGTTGTTTTTTCACTCCTTCCATTCCTTCTAGGAGAGCATATGTCAATTACTTTGCTTTTTATAAGAACATATGTTTTCATTGACTGACCTTTTGTATGATACCCATTTGTACTTGATACTGTTCCATCTGGCATGTCCACTCCTGGAATGGTGAGAACAAAAAATGCTTCAGTTTAACCATTCTTTCTTTCACTAAGATTAGAAGGGGAAACTGAAAGAACTCTTAGAATTCTTGGCAATTTCAACTGAGGAAGGAAGGAAGGAAGGAAGGAAGGAAGGAAGGAAGGAAGGAAGGAAGGAAGGAAGGAAGGAAGGAAGGAAGGAAGGAAGGAAGGAAGGAAGGAAGGGTCATGTTTGACTAATCTCAGTGAACCTATATTAAGAAAAAACTATATTGTGGTGATAGGAACCAGCAAATTGGTGCTTCAGATGACCTTTTATTGAAGATGTAGAGGAAACTATGTACAAGCCCGACTTGCAAAGCATGGGAATTCTGTTATGTCCTGGGCCAGCAGGCACAGGCTGCAGCGATTGGCCCGGGCAGACCATATGGATGCCCGAGATAAGAAAGGCTGCTTCCAGCCTTTGCAATGATTGGCCAGCGAGGTATTGTACAGGGGGGGGCTATAAAAGGGGGCCGCACCATTTTAAAACCTGTTCTATTGGTATTGCAATAAAGGAGACTGTTGGAACTTGTTGCTTCGTCTCAATGCTTCTTTTCCTGAAACAGAACATTGGCAACAAAGGTGGGATGCCTGCAAGGCAAACAGATTAAGAAGCCAAGCTGACTCACCACAGGGGGGCTTGCAGCTCGGAGAAGTGTGGCTCCTGGAGATTGACTAAGTCTGCCAGCACTGAGAGGTGCTGAAGGTGAGCTCAGAAAAGGGGGCCCCTTCTCAATCCTTGTAGCAAGAGGCATGAATGAAGTTCCTGGGCTGAAAGGATGGCAAAGATAGGCCAGCTTTCAAAATTTGACACAGCTCACCCAGAACACTGGAGCTCGTACGTGGCCCCCGTGGAGAAGGAGGCGGTTGTGAGGCCCCTGCTCAAGAAGCCTACCCTGGACCTGGCTGATTTAAATAACTTCCGTCCAGTCTCCAATCTCCCTTTGTGGGGAATGTTGTAGAGAGAGTGGTGGCGCTCCAGCTCCGACAGTCTCTGGATGAAGCGGACTATCTAGACCCTTTTCAATCTGGCTTCAGGCCCGACTTCAGCACAGAAACCGCTTTGGTCGCGCTGATGGATGATCTCTGGCGGGCCCGAGACAGAGGTTATTCCTCTGTCTTGGTGCTACTTGACCTCTCAGCGGCTTTTGATACCATCGATCATGGTATCCTTTTGCGACGACTCGAAGGGGTGGGAGTGGGAGGCACCGTTTTACGGTGGTTCTCCTCCTATCTCTCTGGCCGGTCGCAATCGGTATTGGTGGGAGGGCAGAGGTCAACCCTGAGGCCCCTTGAATGCGGCATGCCACAGGGGTCGGTCCTCTCTCCCCTCCTATTTAACATTTATACGAAGCCGCTGGGTGAGATCATCAGACAGCACGGGGTGAGGTTTCATCAGTATGCTGATGATACCCAGTTATATATCTCCTCCCCGAGCTCTCTCAGTGAAGCGACCGATGTGATGGGTCGTTGCCTTGAAGCCGTGAGGGTCTGGATGGGGGTTAACAGACTCAGGCTCAATCCTGACAAGACCGAGTGGCTTTGGATGTTGCCTCCCAAGGATCATGTCGACTGTCCAATGTTGACTTTTGCGGGGGAAAATATACCCCCTTCGGAGCGGGTTCGCAACTTGGGTGTCCTCCTTGATCCACAGCTGAATTTGGAACATCAATTGACGGCTGTGGCTGGGAGGACCTTTGCATAAGTTCGCCTGTTGCACCAGTTGCGACCCTACCTGGACCGGGAGGCTCTCCTTACAGTCACTCATGCCCTTGTCACCTCACGTTTGGACTACTGCAACGCGCTCTACATGGGGTTACCCTTGAAAAGTATTCGGAGACTACAGTTGGTCCAGAATGCAGCCGTGCAAGTGATAGTGGGTGCTCCTTGATACACCCACGTTACACCTATCCTCCGTGAGCTGCACTGGTTGCCTATTGGTCTCCGGATCCAATTCAAGGTGTTGGTCATTACCTTTAAAGCCCTATATGGCTCAGGGCCAGGCTATTTGCGAGACCGCCTACTACCTCATAGTTCCCTACGTCCGGTTAGATCCCACAGGCTGGGCCTCCTTCAGGCCCTGTCGGCCAAGCAGTGCCATTTGGCGGGGCCGCGGAGGAGGGCCTTCTCTGTGATGGCGCCCACGCTTTGGAACCAGCTCCCCCCGGAGATTAGGACCGCTCCCACCCTGTTGGTCTTCCATAAGCTACTTAAGACCTGGCTTTTCTGGCAGGCCTGGGGTTTATAAAACCTGACCCCTGGATGATTGTCTTTGTACTGTTGTTCTGTTATGTTTTATGTGTTTTTTATTGTTAGCTGCCCGGAGTCCTTCGGGAGTGGGGCAGCTTATAAATTTTAAAAATAAAATAAAAATAAAATAAACTACCTCTGGGTGAATCAAATTCGTGAAGATGACCTCAAAGCTGCCACGCTGCTGTGTGTGTGTGGGCAAGAGACCTTCGAGATTGCGGAGAATCTGGTCGCCCCAGCACCACTGGAATCAATCACCTACACAGAATTGAAGAGGATGCTTCAAGAGCATTTTGAATCCAAGCTCTCAGTGATTGCCTGGCGACACGCGTTCGAGCAGAGGGACCAGAGGCCTGGCGAGTCTGCAGCAGAGTTTGTTGTGGCCTTGCAACAAGCAGCTAGGCCCTGCGAATTCAAAGACTTGGAGCTGAGGGATCGGCTGGTCTGTGGCCTGCGAAGCCGGGAGTTGCAGCAGAAGCTCTTCGCAAAGGAAGGCCTCACGTTCCATAATGCCCTGAGGGAAGTTTCAGCCGAAGAAGCAGCAGGCGGAGCTGTGAAGGCCTTGCGGCTCTTCAAGCCTCCTCAAGTTCCAGCCACCATCCATCAAGAAGTTGCTCACGAAGAATCCGAACAGGATCCAGAATTAGAAGTGGACTGGCTGCATCAGACTCCAGGGAGAAGCCTCATGGAGGGAAGGCCCAGCCAGCATCATCCCCTCGTGTATCAGGTGTGAAAGCCGCCATCGCCGTGCAGACTGCCGTTTTTGCTCCACCATCTGCAGGGCCTGTGGGAGGCAAGGCCACATTGCCTCTGTCTGTTTGGGTTGCCAGAAGGAACGTTACCCAGAAGAATTGCCTCAGAAAGGTACCAGGGTCCCCAGCCAGAACAGGGTGGGCTTCTGCGCATCATATAGGAGCGTTTTTAGAACAGGGGTCCACAGGCCACTTAGGAATAAGCTTCATATCGATGTGAAGTTGCAAGGGGTCCCCTTGTCGATGGAGCTGGACACTGGGTCTGCTCTATCGATCATCTCCCAAGACATCTTTAACAAGGTCTGTAGCAGAAGCGGCCTACGGGTGAAACTCAGGCCATCAAACCTCATCCTCACAGATTTCCAAAATTCCAGAGTCAACGTGAGGGGGGAGGCCACACTCAAGGTGCAGTGTAGGAATTTTGAGGGGCTACTGGATGTAGTTGTGGTTGGGGGAGACCGTACAAGTCTCATTGGACTCGACTGGTTTGAGGTCCTGGGAATTCAGGTGACTGGAATACACAGCATGCAAACAACAGGCCTGGCTGGTGTCTGCAAGGAGTTTGCAGATGTGTTTAGTCCAGAACTTGGCTCCTACAAAGGGCCTCCTATTTCTCTGAGGCTAAACCCAGCCATAGCCCCCATTAGAATCAAGCCACGTAGGGTGCCCTTTGCCTTAAAGGATAAAATAGATGCAGAGCTAGATAAACTGATTCAGCAGGGTATCTTAGAGCCTATGGACAGTAGTCCATGGGAAACGCCCATAGTTACGCCACTGAAGGCCAATGGTGAAGTCCGAATCTCTGCGGACTACAAGTGCACGCTTAACAAAGCACTGCAGTACCATTTTTACCCAGTACCAGTGGTCAGTCACATTCTAGCCTCCCTTAAGGGAGGCCAGATCTTTGCTAAGCTTGACCTGGCTCAGGCCTATCAACAATTGCCAGTTGATGAGGAAACGGCTGAGGTCCAAACTATAGTGACTCACAGGAGGGCATTCAAGGTAAAAAGATTGCAATTTGGAGTAAATGTGGCCCTTGGCATCTTCCAGAGTGTAATGGAGTGAACGCTCCGAAATATCCCTGGTGTTTGCCTGTACTTTGACAATGTCCTCATCACTGGGGACTCAGATGACAATTTAGCCAAAAGGCTGAGAGCCGTTTTGCTACGTTTCTGCCAAGCAGGGCTGAAGCTTAAGCAAGATAAGTGCAAGATCGGGGTTACCTCCACGGAGTTTCTAGGATTCCGCA